GAGGGAAGGGAAGTCCAACGGTGGGAATGAGAACTGTGGCAAGCACCTCTCCAAGATCGGGTGTCGAGCAGCACAGGGGGAGGGTTCTGGATATGGCCTGACAAGGTCACTGCACAGCAGGACCCCAGCCACACCGGTTTAGGGCCAAGCGCACCCAAGCACACAGGCCGGTGGCAGTCACCTCAGCAGCCACACCACCTCAGGGGCTCACGTTGTTTGTGGGTCCCATTCATGAGAACTGCGAGGAAATTTCCTTCTGAACTTACAACGTTTATTTTCTGTTAACCCAAGCATAGGACTTTACATTTATCCCCATTAAATCCCATCTTGTTAGTTTTGGCCCATTGATCCAGACTGCTGATATCTCTATAATCCAGATCCTGCAATGCAGAGCACTTCCCCTCCAGCTTTGCACTGCCAAGAAGTGTGATCTATGCACCTTTTATGTCTTCATAAGGATGGCTCTGGAAATTGTGCGTCATGCCGAGGCCTTGTACACAGCCCTAGGGCCACTGACTGCATCTCAATCCAGCTGTCCAGCACAGTTTGGGTCAACACGAACAACAGATTCATATCCTCTGGGTAGTTATTTGGACAACTACTAACCTATCCAAAGCATCTCTGCACCAGCTACATTTCTCCCTCCCACATCATGATACCCTGAGAGATGTCATCACATAAACACCTTCCCAGATATTTACACCCATGTCCAACCAACTTAAAATGTCCTTTCTGCTACTATTTGAGTGAATATTAATTAGATTTGCCCCTTCAGAGATGTCTGGAATTATTCCAGACAGAATTAAAGCCAATGCTAGAGTTCTTCCAATGCAGAGACCCGGCAAAAATAAATTCAGCAGGCCATGGACTGCCCCCGACACCTGCCTTCTGTCAGTGAAGGGCCAAGGCTTAAAAACAGAAAGCTCGGTAAGTTTGAGAGATTTGGGGAGTGTGATCTACTGCCATCACTTCTAATTATCCTAAACTGGAAAAACGGATGTCTAAGCTGGCCAGCCTGTCTAATAAAGCATTTTGATCAAAGATGCAGTTGCACAGAGTACCTGTTTGAGGGATGGCCTGAGAGTCCACGGGGACCCAGGAGAGTTATGGAAGTCATAAAGCGGTCCCTGCAGTTCCGTAGGCAGACAGCAACACTGTAAAAAATGCTTCTCCAGGGAAGCTTTGAGTCTCTTTAAACATTCAATTATGGCTATACAAACACATATTTTAAGTGAACAGCATCCGATCTTTGCACAAATTAGGGATGCTAGGAGGCAAATAGAAGAGATTCCCTGAAACAACTATTTAATACAAATTCCAATCTGTTTCATGAAGAATTGGTGTATGTGATGAGTTTTTGATCAGGGTTAATTAGGTGACCCTCTTTTAGCATTAGCTGTGGATTATGGCTCTTATGATTGAAGGAACTGAGGCCACCTTTATTTTGGTTGTGATTTCCAAGCAGGTTTTTAATTAAAACAGATTTATGGATATTTAAAGACCCAGTATTCAATGGGCAGAGCTTTTTAGCCCTTTGAAAGTTGCTGGAGGTCCTTCTAAAACACATTTCCTTTTTATTAATAATAAATACTCCAATATCCTTCTTTTCAACCATTTTTAAGTTTTGATGGATTTTTTTCCCTTCAGTGTAAAAAGTTTTCTTAATTTTAATAGTAATATTTTCTTTTATTATGTTATGTTAGTCACCATACAGTAACATCATTAGTTTTTGATAGTAATGTTTTTGGGGTTTTTTTAAAGATTTTATTTATTTATTTGACAGAGACACAGCAAGAGCAGGAACACAAGCAGGGGGAGTGGGAGAGGGAGAAGCAGGCTTCCTGTGGAGCAGGGAGCCTGATGCGGGGCTCAATCCCAGGACCCTGGGATCATGACCTGAGCTGAAGGCAGACGCTTAACCAACTGAGCCACCCAGGCGCCCCAATAGTAACGTTTTCTTGTTGTAAAACATGGATGAAGTAAATGTCTTCCATAATCTTACTAGTCAGCGATACATGTACACGTGTATAATTTTAAAATCAAAACTGAATACCCTATAAAATATTATCTAACATGCTGTTTACATTGATTACATCATGAATGCTTTTTACAACGATGAAGATCCCCACCATCGCCTTTAATTGCTACATAGAGCTCTATTTTGTGGCTAAGTCATAATTTAATCAATCTCGTATTGATTTAGGTAAAATATTCTACGGTGAACATCCCTGAACACAGGGCTGATTTGCAGCCTATAGGCCAGATGCAGGGCACTTACAGGTTACTTTCTGGTTGGCCAGGCTCTCTACTGTGCTGGTTAAATATTCACATTTATCTTGCTTGAACATTTGAGTTCTTAGACCTTAATTTGGATAAAGTCCCTAATTGGATCTATTGGGCCAAAGGCTGTAAGAATTAAAAATTCTACTTTCTACTGGACAATGGATTATATTTTGTGTCCAGCAGCACCAAGAGCTGGAAGCATACAAGCATTTTACTCTACCCATAAAATTACAGATTTTTGGTATTCATGGTCTCAAAAGTGAAGTCCATATGAAACATGTAATTTTTTTTCAACAAAATATTATGCTGAAGTATTTGGGGGGAGTGCAACATTAAAATAGTAATATTGGCATGTTCTAATTATGAAAATGTTATTTTTAGCAGGGCACAATCTCTACAACTGCTGTAAGTAGTATAATTAAAATAAAGCCATAGAATGTCATAGGAGCATATCAAACACTCTCCATATAATTTCTAACATGTAGGTTGACAGTGAGGTTGGGAAGAGAGATATAAATCAAGAAGAGATAGTTTCATGTTTTCAACTTTTTAAATTTTGAGAGTATTTTGTGAAAGGCCCAGAATTAGAAGTGAGCAAATTAAGGCAGCTTTTTAAATGATCTTTTATACAAATTAGCCACTGTCAAATAGTCACTGTGTATTATACTACCTGCCTTAGTAGAAGAAACCATTTTCAAAAAGAACCACGAATGAGGCTATTGAGCCACTTCAGAGACTCAGAGAACCAGAAGGGCGCTAAGAGCTGCATTTCTATATGGAAAAGCATGTCCATTATAAAGCTAAATGAAGCAAGTTATCAAATTGCGCACAGGCCACAATATCCGCTAGGAAGACAAAACAAGCAAAGCTTATTTATAAGGAAAACATGTCTTTGGACAATCACTAAAATATTCATCAGGATTGTGTTTGGTAATAGAAGTATTTTCTTTTGGCCCTTTGATCTTTTGTTCCCCTACAATTTTCAATTTTCTGCACTGGACATGTATTCCTTTTAGAATAAAAACAAATAGATTAAGGTTTTTATTAAGTTGATTTCTATTCCTCTACCTGCCGTCCTACCACCATCTACAGGTCTGGAGTTGGCACCACTCCTGGTGTTCACCACATCCCCCAACACTCTGACAAAAGAAGTGGTTGCCCAAATCCAGCAGCAATCCTAAAACCCCATCAAGGCCACGCATCTCCACCAGAAGCCCTATTCTCTTTTGATCTTTCAGGGAATACCTAGTTTCGTCTGTTGAGATATTTCAAAACCACATACAAACAGCAATTTACAAAAATTAAAATGTCCCACCATATTCTCACACGAAAAAAGAAAAAGAGCGTGAACGTATTTACTTGGCTAAGAGAGACATATCAAAGGCAACACAGAGGTTTCTGTTCAGCTTCCTGTTCATTCAAGACATGTGCCCGAACCTCTATTTTAAGACCATCAAGTCATGAGGAAGGCTAAAAACATCATTTATTGCTTACACATGCCTTTAATCCGTTTAATGGTGAGGAGTAAACATACAAGATATATTAAAAGGCAGGTTGCTATCCTATTTTACCTATATTCATGTTAAGCATATTTATTTTTAAATGTATGTATTTACATGGATCTCTTAAATTGCTGTTGGCCATGATATTAGATACGGGATGGGAATGGGAGAACTGGCCATGGTGACCCCATTGATCTGACTTGCTTGTGACCCTCAAATCAAAGCACTGATACCGTAAGTGATCGGATCTGTTCACATGGAGACAGAATCAGATTTTGTGACATCTGTCTCTGGCAGAGCTCAGCCCAGTGAAGCTCTCTCATCTACATGATCACATCAGCAAAAAGTCCACATTTCACTGATGGGTGAGGAATAGGCACCAGTGATTCTGAAGATAGAAACTTCTAGAAGTTTTATCTATCCAGAAGATAGAAACTCCTGTTTCGAATCAAGCAGGACATGGTTAACTTCATTTACATCTTTAAATACAGATTACTTATTATGAGCACGCAGATCTTTCCTGGTACTAATCAAATAGAATAGTATGGCATCTTCTGGGTCTAAGGAACCCAGGGGGCTGCCAGGGCATAAAGGATGACAAGAACAGGGCTTGTGTTACTTACGCCTTGAAGCAGACAGTTTTCTACTGGGAAGTCATACAAAATACGTAATAATATCCATCTGCTCCAGGAAAAAAAAATATAATGCCATTTTTGGAAATTTAGATAGTTTCGCAAAAAAAGGTCAAATTTTTAAATAAAAAGATAAAATAAATACTTTGTGCCACTGGAGACAAGCTCTGAAAGATAAATAAACCCTTGGTATTTCTCAGGGAAAAAATAGAGGTTCTATTCATTTGAAGCTATTTCTCCTTATATAAGCCAGGAATTGTGAAAAGTCAACTAATTATGGAATGCTATTACTTGAACAGAAGATGCTTAAATTCTATCCTTGACAAATCAGGCTTTGAAAAAGAAACATCAGAACTATGAGAAAAACCTGCTGATTTACAAAGCTTTTTTTTAGAGTGATAAAATTCTTCATTTTTCCACTTCATTTTTTCAAGTTAATTCCAGCCTCAGATCCAAATTGGGATTGTGAATCCGTGCATTTCATTCTGTTTCTCTAAATGCCAACGTAAATTACACAGCACTTTGAACCCACAGCTCCTAACTTTCTCCCATGGCACAGTACACAAGAATTAACGTGACTTACTCATTTCTTTCCAGATGTACGATCAGTTCTTTGCTTTCCAGTTGCATTCGAAAATTCAACACTTCTGGATGATTCTGAAAGATAAATAAGAGAAATCAGCTGAAACACATTTCACATTGACTTGCCAACATTTGAATGTTCTGAAGGCATATTCAACAGAGGGAGAGAAAAATACATTTTCTTCTTGGGACCATTCTGATATCCCAAGTAGAGGAGATCAGGTGAACCAGGATCAGAGTCTGGAGGATGCACCACCCTCTGGGATGGCACGAATGTGGCCTGGACCCCTTTCCTTTGGGCACATACCCCTGAGATCCTTCTTGACTACCCCCACCTCCCACAATGAATTCGTCCCTCAGTTTCCCTGTCTCTATAAATAGCACCTTCACTTCCCCAGCTGCTCATGTCAGAAATGTGAAGTCCTGCCTAAAACCTTCTCCCTCTCCAGCTCCTCTTAATCCATGAAAAGGTCTTGCAGGGCTGCTCTCCAAAACACAGCTCCTGTTACATCTTAAACCCCTCCACCTCTCATCGGGATTACCGCAATGCCCTCCTAACCTGGGTCCCTCCATATCTACCTTTGCTTTCCTCCCATTCATTCTCCAATGGCAGCAGAAGCTTATCTTCAAAAACACCTCCTCATCAACCTAACTCTGATTCTAGGGAGACTGCACTGGTGTCCCACGATAAGATGCCACCTCTTTAATGTGGCCAGCGCTGCCCGTACGGCTCTTGTCCTCACTCACACGGGCCTCACCGGCAGCTCAAACACAATGAGCTCCTCTGTAGTGCTGATCTTTGCATGCTGTTCCCTCTGCCTGGAATGCTTTCCCTCCAGGTCCTACACTCAGTACCAGCTTTAACGTCAGTAAGTCAAGGAAACCTCACCTTGCTCCTAAGTCTCATCGCATGCCCCTCTTCCCAGGCATGCTTTCTTCCAGTCTCCCGTCCTTTCCCTCCTTGTGGAAGGAAGAACTTCCTTCCTACTTGTAGTAACTCAGTATGTTGATCTGTAGATCTACTTGCTTATTATGTCCACAGAGGTGCCAGATAAGTAACAGAAGCCCAATTAACTTAAGGTGAATGAAGGAATTAATGAATAGGGCAAATGTCTCAACCAATCTCTTCTCCTTCTCACGAGGTAGACATCCTCCTTCTCCTCTGGGCTCCAGGGAACCCCGCTCATGTGTGCCCATCTGTCAATGGGGACAGGTAACTATATTTTTTCTGTTCTGCCCCAGAAATCCCAATGAGTTTCTTGCCCTGACCTGAGAATGTACCTGTGTGACCATGTCCCTTAACTCACACCCTTACCTCAATGTGTGCCACACTCCTTGAGCCCAATCATTCAGAGTCCTTGCCCAAGTCAAAATCGACTTGCCAACTCAAAGGTATTCTGTGAAGCCCCCTGCCCCCTTCCCTGCTGTGTACTCCTAGTGATTCTGAACAGTCACTTCCAGCCCCTCCTTATCCGGATCAGCATATGTCAAATGGGGGTTCTACGTATCCAAGGGGCAGTTCTCACTAGGAGAATTTAAAATTTTCAATGTTGATTTTTAAAAACAAATCATTTTAAAAACAACTGTCTGGGTGACAAGTGAAGGGCAAAGACGGGGTTAATGCACAAATAATGTAGTCAACCTAAAGAAGGGCCAAACGCCATCAAAGCCCAGGGCAGGAATTAAGGTTCCTTAGGGGCTTAAAAGGAGCGAAGTAGAGTAGAGCTGGGTCATCATGTGGAGCTTGCACCACAAGCTCAAGGGTGCCCAACTCCCCGCGGTCAGTGCCCCATCAGGGCTGCGCTCGGCGGCTCAGCCCCGCGCAAACGTCATCACCGCAGGAGACTGGTGCTGCCAACCTCAGTGGCTGTGGTTTCGCCTGCCTTTGCTCTGGAAGTTCCTTCAGTTTCATGCTTGTATAGTGAAAATAAGACCTTTGTGGTGTTCTAATATTCCGGTGTTAAGAGGCACTATCATAACTCCAGAGTTCAAGGGACTCTTCTTACAACATAGCATTTCATCTGTACTATGGATCAACTAACATGTTACTATGTTATAAGAGAAGATGGAGTATAAGCTCCAACATCCAACATTAGTTGAAATGAAACAAATTTAAACAAAAACCCTAACAACAGAAGGTCACATGAGTTTTGGGAAAAGGTTAAAACGTGCACGCACTCATACCATGGGACTGGGACAGCGTCAGGGCTGCCCTTCGCACATCTGGATAGTTTCCGATGTTGAATACGGTAGCCATTAGCCACATATGAATTTACATTTAAATAAACTGAAATAAAATTTAAAAATCAGTTTATCAGTCTCACTGGACACATTTCAGACTCAATAGCAAGATGTGATTAGTCGGCAGTCCCCGTTGGACAGAGCAGAGCGACAACGTTCCCACTTTCACAGAAAGTTCAGACATTTCCATCTTCATTGAGCATCTCTGAGTCAATAATAAAGATCTAAAATTTGCAGGGCACCTGGGTGGCTCAGTCGTTTCAGTGTCTGCCTTCGGCTCAGATCATGATCCTGGGGTCCTGGGATTGAGCTCCGTGTCAGGCTCCCTGTTTGTGGGGAGCCTGCTTCTCCCTCTCCTTCCCATTCATGCTCTTTCTCCCTATCTCTCTCTATCTCAAGAAAATAAATAAAATCTTTAAAAAAAAAAGATGTAAAATTTGCATCATCCAATTGCTGCCTGAGTAATAGACTATTTTAAATATTGGTGCCTTCAGGGGATATAATTAGGTGCAAACCCAAGTGGTTTTTTAAGTGCACATTAAGAAAGCTCTTCTCAATTTTAATTGATGAGTCATATTATTTTTAAAGGAGTTACTTAAGCTTGAGAGTTAAACTGGTAAATTTCCATATAAATGAAATGCTTATCTATATTTTCTGATTTTAAACAGATCTTGTTTTATATAGACGCATTCTAGCAAATGACAACACAAACATCTAGAATCTTGTAAAAGCCACACACTGTAATTGACATATTTTGACACTATCTGATGTTTATAAGAATTTTATGGGTTTCTGAGTGCTGAACTTCTAAAATTAATATTACTATTCCCGTCCTATGCAACATTAAACCCACATTATGTCTTTAAATTTTAATATAGTGCGTAAAAGTGCTTATAAGTCCTGGATTTGCTTTTGAGTCTGTCACAGGGACTTTTGCCTAAATTTACCTATATTTTCTGACACTGAGATTTAATTACAAATATGCACAGGATGTTCTCTCTCCACGGTTTGCAACTTGTACTTATTAATGATTTCTTAGAAAAATGGGATTATTAATTAAGTTTACAATAAAACATTAGAACAAAAATATGTCTCAATATTTTGTCAAGATGTGCCCAATATATGCGTATGTATGTATATTTGAATGTGTTTTATATATGTGTATGTGTAAATAACTTACTTTAATTACAAATTGTCTTTGCCTAAGATATTGAAACCTGTATCACATTTTAAAGATGAATCCTGACAATTATATTTGTGAATAAAAATAAAATATTTCCAGTACCCCTCCCCCCACCTCCGAGTTTAGCTAGTTTAAACATTACCATTTGTACTAATTCCACAGGAAGTCCCTACAGGACCTGTTATAACATTCCAATATCAACATCTTTCAAATGAATACATTTTTCCCTAGGGAGGCAAAAAAGATTTTATCTGTATATTTTAGTTGGGATTTAATGGTACAGGAGAAATCAATGGGCAAAAAGAACAGAGAGCTATTTTCATTCAAAACCACTAACTGCATTAGATTGTTCAGTTTAAAAGCATGTATCCATTCCATTTTCTTTTGATTCTTATACATTGGAGATAATGAACTAGTGCTGGTTATATATAGCATTCCTTTTCTTAAAAATGATATATTGATTACCTTAATGGAACTGTGTCTTTTATTGAATGCTTAAAGAACTGCACTTAATTGGGAAAAGTATAACCAAAAAAGAGTATACAAAATGTATCACTACAATTTTATTTTTAATTTTTAAAAAGATTTCTTTATTTATTACTGGGGGAAGGGGCAGAGGGAGAAAGAGAGCATCTCAAACAAACTCTTCACTGAACATGGAGCCCAACGACGTAGGGCTCAATCTCATGACCCTGAGATTATGACCTGAGCTGAAATCAAAAGTTGGATGCTTAACTGACTGAGCCACCCAGGCGCCCCACTACAATTTTAAAAATAATAATTATTAGCGTACCTACCACTCAGCTGAAAAATAAAAATATTACCAGAATCTTAGAAGCCCCTTGTATTAGTTTCCTAAGGCTGCCATAACCAAATACCACAGGCTGGGTAGCTTACCCAATAGAAATTTATTTTTGCATACTTCTGGAAGCTAGAAGTCCTGATCAAGGTGTCAGCAGGGTGGTTTCTTCTGAGGCCCCTCCTCTTGTAAATTCCTCATGGAAACCATGTGGGCAACCTCCCCCAGATGGTGTGCTGTCTTCAGACAGTTCTGCAAAGTAAGGCTCCAGCCAGGACCCCACCACCCATCTCTCGGACCCTCAGTTGCCCTGCCCTCCCTCTGAGATCAACCACAGGGCATCTGTCCAGCACATTCTACTTAACTGGAAGTATGAACAGATGACTCAAAGTGATTTATTAATTAGCTAGGGTTTCTTCCACGATGTGTTGACTTTCTTTAATCTATGTAATTGGGAGCTCCCCCAAACTTGAATTTAAATTATTTCACCCATGGTGGCTACAAAATATCTCTAGTCAATACATGTAACTTTTCATGGATGCAGGATGCCTCCAACTGCTTCTTCTCTGATGGATGGAATGATACACAGCATCATCTCCTTGGTGTCTCCATGTCCTTAAAAAAACACCCAATTTTTGGCGACTTAGAAGAAGTCTGAACCAGATCATGAAGTTGAAATAAGGTGGCAGTGAGCCACCAGAAGGAAGGGAATTACAGGAAAGAAAATACAATGTAGGGTCAGTAGCCGAGTCCACTCCCATCCTGGCTTCTCGGTTACCCTTTCAAAGATGATGGTCAGTTCTGACCCATACTCACTCGTCTCAACTGTTGACACTGGAAGCTCAGAGGGAT